TAGGACATTCAACTTCCTCTGAAGCACAAAGTGATCAAAAAGATGAATTTTGGAGTGATTCTAATTGGAGAATGTTCGTGTGCCTTTCAAGATGATTGTACCAAAATTTCATATTGTTCTACCAAGCCGTTTGACTGTGGCGATGAAATTAAGGCCCAGCGCGCAGCTTTCCCAGATTGACGTTTCTGGACGTTTGGGTATTTTGGAGGTCAAGATGGTATATTTTGAGGAAGATTCCTTCTATGATTTATAGGAGACGTCTTCAGCTTTCAAAAGAGACCTATTGGGACCAAATTGGAGTTGATTTGGTTAGTCAAATGTATGATTTTCTGAGAAGTCCGAATTTTAGTTTAAACAGGAAACCTTTTATTTTCTGTTTTATTATTTTATTATGTTTTCTAGTTTTCTTCTAAGACGTTTTCAAGGTAGGATTTTATTTTGTAGTAGTATAAATAAGACTTTTTAGCTGTTAGGTTAAGAGGGGGGAGAACACAATACTTTGGCTTTAGAGAGCCTTGACGATTCAAGTTTATTTTCAAGGTGTTTTCTATCCATGTTCTTAATAATATTTTGTTTTATGGTTGTTAGTAACTAGTTTCATTTGTTAGGGCGAGGCCACGAGCCTTAGCAAGAATATGTAGTTTCTTTTCAATTTACTTATGATATTAAGCATGCAAGTTTTGAATTATTAATCATTGTGCTTTAAATTATCTACTTGTCTTGATGATTGGTCACCATTAGGATATTTAGAAAAGTAATTTGATGCAATTTTGATGGAGGGTTGTCCCTGGAATTGGCGCTGGCTTCTTGTGGTTAATATGTGTAACTTTTTAGGATGGACGACACGTCTTAAGGGTTATATGGTTTTTCAAAAGGATTTCACAAAACTTAATGAGTCTTACATGTTCACATTCGATCTGGACACCACGGACGGGTTGCATGATAGATATACGTTCTATGTTGGGGTTCCAGTAGCCAAGTGGTAAGGGCGCGGATTTCGGCTCTTAAAATACAAAAACAGGGAGGTTCCAGGTTTGAGGCTCCAAGCTAGTGAGTCTGCTTGACTGTGGCCATGAGAAAGCTGAAATGCCTTTGTGAGTCTTCTAGGCCCCTAGAAGGGGTGGATAACCGTGACTTACCACTGGTTGTCCCACTTTAAAAAATAAAAAAAAAAATAATAATAATAATAATAATAATCAAGATTAATCTCAAAGGTAATAAAACCAACAAATTCTCCTCAGCAACATAACACGATATTAATGACTTTACAAAGATGAAATTTGTTAATGTAACATATATATTACAATTGGGAGTTGAGACTAGAGTTTAGGATTAAAAAACTTAAATGAATTTGGAAGAAATAAAATTAGGCAGCTAGAGGTGGTGGAACAGCAAATGGTGTTGGGGGATGGGATAACTTAAGTTCAAAATTGGGAGGTTACGATGATTTGGAGGATTAAAACAAAAATTAGAAACCTCTTCTTCTTCTTTGTAAGCATTGTTGCATGCACATCCATAGAGGCAACAAGCCTTCTCCGCTGCACCTGCCCAAATTATTGAAGGGTCCCGAAGGTCGATCACAAGTGTTTCTTCGGACTTCCGGAGGGTCCCGGGACCTCCCGGGTCCCTATATGGATCCGTCCATGGTTCCAAGTAGAGCATACTTTAGGTAAACCTAACCTTCAAAAATATGCATGTGTAATTCATAAGTAATTGAAAGAACTACATAGAATTGTTAAAGTGACGGCGGAACCCTAGTGCTCAAATTTATTTTCAAAACTATTTTCTTTTGTTTTCTTTACTTTGTCAATTTATTTAATTGTTTTTAATTAAACTCATTTTTAATTTTTTTTTTTTTAGATCATTAAATCACATTTTTCTTAACTTTGTTTTCAAATAATTAATTAAGATTTAGTTTAACATAAATTATTCATTCAATCCCTGTAGAAAACGATATTGCTTGAACTGCTATACTACGACAACCTTGTACTCTTGCAAGTATTTTTAAGTGCTTTTAACCCTTTTGCGCAAGTGGTAAAAAATCCCTATCAAGAAATTGGCGCCGTTGCCGGAGAACATCATCTTCATCATCAGCCATTGTAGAAGTATAGTCAGAGATAAACAACTGCCGTCGGGTCATAATTTCTTTTTTTTTTTTTCTATCAAAATAGGCCTTACTCATTGGAGTGCAATTCGAAGTGTTCCTTTCTATATTCTTATCATCCATCTCTTCTTGTATTTGTTTGGCCCGTTCTTCATGCCTATTTTTCCTTTCTTCCGCCTTAAGGGCATTTTGCTCCGCCATTAATCGCAATGAGGCCGGCACTTCATGTTGAGCGGCGTAATCATCATTTGCCTTACCATTTTCCTTCAACCTCCACGCCTTGTTTCGTCCCATAGCCCTAGGTATGGAACCTTCACCCGAAGATGGATTTTCTAACCTTATTTGTTGAATGGTTGGAGATCCATCTTCATCCATATCTGCAGTTGAGGATACAGTTCCGAACACCGATGTAGGAGCTCTATATGGTGGATCTTCAAATAATACCCACCCTTTACAAATTTCCCAACAACTGTGAAACTGAAAGGGTTTCGAGCTGCTCTCCATATACAATTCCTCTGCTTGGCGTACCTAAAAAAAAAATTAAAGGAAATTAATTTATGAAATTAAATGTAATATAATTAATATTTAAAATAAATTGTGAAAACACTAACTTTGTCGTAGTAATTAGCGGCACTTTTATGTCTACTTGCGGCTGCTAACAATGTTTGATGTCATTTGTTCAAACTTGGCTGAAGATGTTTCTTCCATCTTGAAGAACAACTCTCGTGGTTTCGAATATTCACTGGAGTGGTGCCTTCATAGAACTCTATTTTTTTGACACACGAGTCCATACACCGTCATTTCTTTTACAATTCCTCCTCACACTATCTTTCGACACCCATCTATAAGCCTTGCAAAGAGTTTCATCCTTCTTTTCGGGTCCAATCCCTACCTTTTATTGTAGACGAGACCATTTGAAAATTATTGAAAATTTTGAAGGATAGTTTGAAAGAGGAAAGAAAATATGAGAATTGAAATGGTGTAGGAATGGTGAAAATTTTGTGAGGAATGGTTTAGTTATTTATAGGAAAAAAAATTAGAATTTTTGAGAATTAAAAAAAAAAAAAAAAGGCCAAAAAACCTAAAAAAAAAATTTTACAAAATAAAAAATCCAACAGTAACTGGCACTAGCTAGCCGTTGGATTCAAATTTCTTTTTAAGTATTCCTGTTGGTTATAACCGACAGGATTAAGGTTTTTTCTGGCCAGCCTCGAGCTGGCTGGTTGGCTACATGTAGCCAGCCCTCCAGCCTTTTGGCCCTTTCAGATTCCGTAAGGCCCTCTCAGATTTCATGAGCCTTCTGGCCTAAGCCTCGGTTGGAGACGATTTTCGGGCTATTTTCGGCTCTTTAGCCCTCTGAACCATTCGGTTGGAGATGGCCTAATAACTTATCGGCGAACATTTCTAACCCTTGGAACCTTCTTTAACCCCAACAGGTGAGCACAATGTTATTTTTATGTATCAATTTGATTATAGACACTTTTTACAAAAATTCAAGATACATACAAAAAGTCCGTTTTTTGGATGGCTTAGATTATCTCTAAGACCATCTCCAACCCTTGGAGTAAAATTCAAATTTTAGGTTCTAAACTTATTCCAACTTACTCTAACCCTTGGGGCAAATATTTGTTAAAACTCAAAACTCATTTATGGGGCAAATTTAGCCTATAATTCCTCCTGGATTAAGAGAGATTTTTCAGTGTGACCAGTACATAAGATGGTACACCACGTATCACTATACAAATGGTGGGATATGTGTGCTAAAAAGTTAATAACTTAAAAAATAAAATTCCCCCCCGCTCATATTAAAACACGTGGTGTACCACTTATGTTCCCGTCACAACTAAAAATTTCTCCTGAATTAGTGGGGCTGACTTACCATATATGTATATTTTTTTTGGTTTTATATTTACAAATTCATTGAATCCAACGATTAAGATCTAATTTGATCAAATCCAATGGTAAAAAAAGATATCTAACGATCCAAATTTAAATCCAATGGCTAAAGTAATTAAAAAAAATATTTTATGTGTTTCGTATTCTTTGGTAGTGTTCCACGAGTTTCATGATGTCGATTTAGTGATTTTTTAATATTTATCGGAATTTAAATATTTTTAGGTTAAAATATTCATAAAATTAAATTAGGATAGTCTACATAATTTTTTTTTTTTTTAAAGTTACTTTAAGAAAGAAATTATCCTAAATTCTTTCTTTAATAATCTCGGGCTAAAAACTTAACCCAGAAGAGTTGGAGTAGAAAAGTTGTTTATGGTCAAAACCTAAATTGTCGGGGGTAAAATATTTAGGTTTTAACTCAAGGGTTAGAGATGGTCTAAAGGAGATATCCAATTTTAAACATAAAATTTAAATTTGAACGTTTATGTGGTACTTTGATCATTTTTAAAATTTTATTCTCCACCTAATATGTCAAATTTAAATGACCATTTATTGCATTATTTATTTTTATAATTGTAATAATTATTTTTAGAACAAAAAATAATAAAAAATCATTAGTCACTAAAAATAGATTTCAAGTTGTCAAATTTAGCAGCAACCACATTGATGTCACGTCATGCCAAGTAGAACTTATCACTGGAAAACGTTTAAGATAATTTTTTATTCTTATTGTTGATAGAAGGCTAGATGAATTAAAGAAAACCTCCTTAAAATTGTTGTCCATGTTTAGTTTTTTTTGTCAAATTTTCAATTTCAGATTTTGGTTTTTGTGTTGTACATTCGATCACCAATTCTTCAAAATCCTTTTCTATCTCTAGCTTGAGTCATTTTTTCAAGTGCTAGGTATTTCGTATGTCTCAATATGAGCAAAAAAAATGATATATTTTTCGTATCTCTTCAGTTATATTATGAAAATTTTCTCCCCTACTTGTTTCTTTCTTGCATTTTGTATTTAATAAATTTATAACAAAATGATTATCAAATTGACACTTCAAGTCTAATTTCCAGAAGACAAATCATACATATAATAGAACTATTAACTTGTTGATGGTTATTGCGTTATAATTAAGTTAACCATTGATTAACTTCGTCTTCAAAGAGATTTTCTGGACACAATCTAAACTTTATAATTGCCCAAAAAAAAAAAAAAAAGGCATGAAACACAATCAATTAGAGGAAAGAATTAAACACAGATATTTCGTAATCATGTTCGACATTAGCTCATAAACAAGTGGGAAGGGCTCTTGAGTGAAATCTTCGAATCTATACGCATCAATTGCCAAAAAAGGAAACGCTCTGCCTTGCTCCTTTTGCCAAAATCGCTCTCTCTCTCTCTCTCTCTCTCTCTCTCTCTATCTCTCTCTCCCAAAAGCTTCTAAACCCGCCCCTTTCACCTTCCATGGCCGCTGAAATTACAGAAGGGTTCAAACGGTTGAACCCTTTTGCACCCGAGTACTTCCCCTCCTACTATTGCCCCCCACCGCCACCTCTAAACCCTAGCTACTATTATTCTTCATACTCCCATCAAATTGCCACTACCGTTTTCTTCAATACCTCTGTTCCCACTGCTCAAACCCTACCCTCTCATCACTTTGCACAAGGACCTCAAGTGCCTGAAAAACTGCAGCAGAAAAGCTATGGCAATGATATGGTCGAAAACCAGAAGACGACGGTTCCTCGGCCCACACGGCTAGTTAGGGGAAGAAGGTCCACCTCCAGTTATGGAGGTCTAGGGAGTAGTATTGATGGCAAAAAGCAAAGGGGTAAGTTCGAGAAGAGAAAGGAGTGGAAGCCAAGGGTTCGCGGCAGCTATAGGATATCTGACGATAAATTTGGAACTATTAATTGGAAGGGATGTAATGATCTCCGTGTGGAATACTTAAATAATTTCTCTATGCCGAAGAAGGTGAAGACCAAAAGTTACGCCGATGTTTTGCATGTGGAAGAACATGGAGAAAATACAGCCGTCATGATCAGAAATATCCCAAACAAATACACGTATGTTTATATGTATGCGATGTCCCCATAGGTTGCATGATTTTGCTTATCTGGGTTTTAACTTGTCGAATTTATAATGTTTGATTGATAATTATCAACCGGGTTTTGTTTCTATACTGATGATTTTGTTATTGATGAGAAACATACTAGCGGTTCAATCTTCTTTATTTTCTATTGTTACTGAATTAGTTGTTCAATTTTTTTAAAGCTTTGTTTCTTGGTTTTGAGATTTTGGTTGATAATTGCGTTCGTGAGTTCATCTAATTGGTGCATGTATATATATGCATCATGCATGTGCTGTTATCTAATGAGATTTGGTTCAATTTTGGATTCTGTGAATCAAAGCCGGGATATGCTGATGGCGTTTCTGGATGCCCATTGCGCTGAGGAGAATGATAAACCTGAAGTAGGAGATGAGATTTCATCCTATGATTTCTTATATCTGCCTATAGACTTCAAGTGAGTTGTACTTACTACCCTACTTCACATTCCAATTAATTAATGTCTGATAACTTATTTTTTGAGCTTTGTTTCTAAATCAAAATATAATTAATGAAGATACAGTATTGGTAATTTAGATGATTTTGATCTAATTGAGGCACAAATATATGTACACAGTACTGGGTTTAACAAAGGGTATGCGTTCGTCAACTTCACCAACAGCAAGGCAGTCTGGAAATTTTCTGAAGGGACTGGTGGGAAGACTTGGGATCTTTTCTACTCTTCAAAGAAACGTGAAATTGCCTACGCCAAAATCCAGGTATGGGCTTAATTAATATTAAACATATAAACTTTAGTTTCATGTCTCTAATTAGATTGGAGCAGTCGCTCTAGATTCAATGTATAACTGATGTATCCATTCAATTTATAGTCTTGGTTGATTTTAAAACGGGTGTTTATAGAATTAAATTGGATTGGAGAAAGTCATTAAATTCAATGCGTCTTGAAGCAAGAAATCATTGCAAGCTTGAAAGGTTGAAACTTTATTCAAGTTGAAGATAGCAAACGGATTATTCATGAACGAAACATGTAATCTCCATATTCTCCACATCCTACCATTTTTGTGTTGAATTGAAGGGATGACTTTCTTCCGTGAAAAATCCGACAGTATCTTGAATATGGATACGAAGTGTACTAGTTGTATCTATTTCCTCATTTATACATTGCAATTAGCTAGCATTCCATATCAATCTTATAACTTAATTGGTTATGACCGAGTCGAATGTAGGAGTTGTTTATACAATTACGTTGCAAATTTTCTTTTTATTTTTTATTTTTTATAATTACGTTGCAAATTTTGAATTGATTCATTAATGTATGATTTTGATTTTGGAAAATAAATTTATATAGCAAAATATAATGAAAGATACAATGGTGTTAGTGGTGATTAATTACGACGTAATTGGTGATCAGGGCAAGAAGGAGCTGGTAAGTCATTTCGAGACGATGAGGTTTCCTTGTGCATCAGAGGACGTGCTGCCGGTGTGTTTCGACCCACCTCGAGACGGTTCCAGGATGTCTGTTCAGATCTCGACTGTAGGCCATGCAGTGGATCTTAATCGACATGACAATTAAAGGCTCGTCATATCAAAGAAAGGAGGCAATCATGATGGTTGTCGGCCTACGTCAGTCTCATATCTCCTTCTCCACCGTCGGATTATTCCGTACGACTACTGCCGTAGTGTTGTAATAAGAAACGTAAGCCCTAGATTTAGTTTGGTTAAGTCTCCATTTCCCTGTCTGTCCTAGTTGGTCTTCCTTCCTTCAGCTTTTAGGATATGTAATGAGATAGTAGTACTAGATTGTTGCTAGTACAGTAGTGCATGGCATGTAAAAAGGTATGTAGATGGTTGAAGGCCAAACCCTAGAGGGGGTGGAGCTTGGCACCTGGACTTCGTCATCGTCCTTCGTGTCCATCGACATGGATATGAGGCCATGACGTAATGGATCAGGTGGTGGGTTCCACCTTCCATATATGGACGGCCCTGATTGTCCTGTTGTCCCATGGATAATGATATCATCTCTATTTTAAACTTTTAATTTCAATTGGAGTGATTTTTGCTCACTTTTTACATTTCGCACAGGAATAAGTCGCATCCCTAAAATTTACAAAGTCAATCTCCAACTAGAAGGCCAAAGAGAATCGGGCAAAAGAATTAGACTAAGTTTGCCTTAGGCAATGTATATGTAGCTCCAGGCATGCTAAGTTTGGCCAAAAGAAGTAAAATGAAAGTGAATAAAATATAGCTTTGCATGGTTGCATGGATGAAGGTGAAAAATATAGTACTAAAGTAATTTTTAAAATATTAATTTTTGAAGAGCTAAATCATAATCAAAGGCTACGCTTAGCCTTCAATGACTTGAAGATAACCGTAGGGATATCATACCTTTATACTAGTCGTGTATTTATGATATGGCAAATGAGGTGTATTTGTTCATTCAATTAATAAATTTGTCTTATTATATTTGTTACATTATGTTTTATATTTCAATTTGCCTTATTCAGGCTTGAAAAATTATGGTTTCACAGCTCCTAAGAATTCCATCTGCTCCAATAAAATTAGAGGGACTTTTCTTCAACCATCAACATTGAGTTTAAACAACCCATCTCGAGGTGGTTCCCAATGAAATGCAAGGGTTGGGGCACACTATATCACACATGGCTGTCCAGAAGTCAGAAGTCGAGAGACTCGAGCACTTTCTTTAAATTGGCATGAACGTTTGGGACACTTAGGTTGAACAGTGATGCGCCACATACTTTTCACTAGCATCTCCTTCTTTGGAGTAAGAATCTTGTACCTACAGCACACTTTACCAAGATTGCTCGTTGAGAAAATTGGATTTCTATATCATCTCTAGAAAAGATACTGCATAACCCTTTTTTTACATGTATTCAAGCGAAAAGTTATGGACCAATCAACCAAAATCTAGACCATTTAAATATGTTATAGTTTTTGGTTGATGTATCAATACACTAATCACTGTCCACATGTACATGCCATTAATTTTCTAGGTGATTTTTACCTTGAGAGTTCACCACCCCGATTAAGTCTAAAATACTAGATAATGCCGAAGAATTTAAGTTGAAGATTTTTGGTAATCATTGCATGTTTTTTTTAGATTGAAGTTAAACATCATGTTCCTAGTTCACCCCAAAACAATCTCGCAGAAGCGGTCATAAAGCGCTTAATCAATCGGTTGCCCGAACCTTAGTGAACACACCAAGTTTTCGGTTCTGCCTAAGGCTATGCAATCTTGTATGCAACTATGTTGGTCTGCTTAAGGCCTATTACCACCCAACCTATTTTTGGTGTAACAGTTGGTTACTAGGTACGACGTGAAGTAAATACTTAAGCATTTGGATGTGCATTTTATGTGCCAAGTGCACCGCCGCAACATATCCAACATGGGTCCTCAAAAGAAGGATATGAAACTTTGTTGATTATGATTCTCCTTTGAATATCCCTTTAGAGCCCCTGCAAGAGACCGCTTATTTTTCAGATTGCCACTTCAATGAGACAATCTTCTTGTCATTAAGGGTGATACGAGCGTCAACGTTCCTAAAGAACAGAGCTAATTGCCATGAACGTGACCATTATGTCTCATGACTATCTCTATACCGCACAAAATGATAAGCAAGTGTGATGTTTCTAGCTTTCAGAATGTTGCTTCAGACGCATTTATCTAATCTAGCTAAAGTGACAAGATCATATATATTAATTGTAAACATGCATGCAAGGATAGTGTAGCTAACGAACTTTGAGTTTACATCCTTGATTGAATATGCCACTCCTGAATGATGATTTGTCATCCCTGATAAGTTATTTCGCCTCCATATAGGCACATGGTACAAAAGCTGCTAGCCAATCATTTGTCCTTGGCTAAAAACGTGGCAAATTACTTGGTTCCTAGGATTCACTACCCCAAAAGAGGGAGGATAAAGCATAAAACGAATGCCTACTTGATCACTATTCAACCATTCCATCTCATGACATTAATTTGGATTATCTCGAGACTTGAAGTTGTTGGTTCAATATACTAGCTTGGGTAAGATATGAAATTGGAATGAAATTATCTCGATGATGTTTACTTATATGGTAGCTACCGACATAAATGAAAAGCGACGATGTCGAACTGCGTTTTGTTGATTAGTGACAATGTAGAACTTATTGGTCAAATTACAATCCGGGTGAATTATATTCCTTATCAAAGTGTGGTTGGACCTATGGTTCCTACACTGCCCAAGGTAACCCTGTCGTGTTACAAGTAGGAAATGAATTGTAATGAGATAAATGAAATCGTGTGATATAATGCAAGCCTTATAGAGCAAAACTTCTCTTAAACGCCCGGTGATTGATTGCAACTTATGAATGTGGTTATAACGTCTCTCTACTAGGATTTGGACACGAAGATTTATATGTAAGTTCATAAAGAATTACATGGTTTGCTGTGATGAGGTGTCCACTTTGGATTCAAACAATCAGGGCAATTTGGTACTTCCGTCTAAGTGATTATTTGACTAGCCATGAATATGTAAATAAACTATGCCTCTAGCGTGTTCCTTAAGAAGTATTCCGAATTTGCTAGAGTTGCAGTCTATTTCGATGACAGGAATATCACTAAGACTTCTGGAAAAGCATTAGAAAAATGCCTTGAACCTGAAGACGATAATTGAGATGAAGGGTCGTGGGAATACTTCATGTCTTAATATGAAGTTTGAGCATTTTCTGACGGTATTTTGGTCTACTAGTCAAATCAAAAGGTGTTGCTTTTGAGTACACCCATAATCATCCACACACTAGAAATAAATGAAACTCTTGAAGATGTTTTGGAACCCGGAATTCTGTATCTAAGTTCAATTTGCACTTTATGGTAGTTAGCTCATTGCATTAGGCATGGCATCACCTTCGCTAATGATAAGATACAACATTATGCATCCCCAACAGATTCAACCTTTCTGATCCTGAGAATGATGCTTTCCATTTTTTGTTATGCTTACGTCAGTTCTTTATCAAACTTGCACCAGGCACAGTCCCAAATGGTTATGTATTTACCAATATGGGACACCACAATATCTTGTAGATCCACATAATAGACCTTAATTGCGAAATCTTCGAATCGTGCTAAGCTCACCGCACCTTACTACGCCCCACATGAGAGATATGGTTGAGATCTCTTGTCGATCATATTCGAAGTACCTGCGGAGTTCCATCCATCATTGGGTTCTAAACTATCCATAAAACAATGCCACTTATATCAACTACACAATCCGAGAAGTCAACACCAACAATGTTGTGCCATCGAAGTTCTTCTTTACTCATTAGCAAAGCATCAGAAGATTGAAGTTAAGGAGATCCGATCCTAACAAACCTCACTGATCTCTTCACGAAGTTATTGCCGATGTCTATCTTCCAAAAGCTTACCAAGGTATTGTGTCATTTGACCTATCTCATTTGCAATGCTTGTAGTGTCAGAAGGAGTATCCTAAATTATACTCGCTTTACTTTGTTGTACCCTTTTCCCCTAAGATTAGGAGTATTTTTTCTGTTGAATTTTTGCTAACCCGATGAGGTTTTAATGAGGCACCCACATCAGGATGGACAAACCTTTGTGTGCATTTTCTACTACTTGATGCATTTGAAGATGACATTGCATTAACTTGTCTTTTCTCCTTAGACTATGAGTTTGTCGCACTTTGTTTCTTGTAGCCAAGTTTTGGTGAGACTTTATCCTTTTTACGCATCCTTACTTTAAGACTCGTGTATGCATTGGTTGTACCAAACCAGAATTGACAATAATCCCCATCTCCTAATGATGAAGACTTGATGCAGTTACTTCTTAAGTTCTACACACTCAACAAGGAGTGATATAAATAGTGTCTTACTTTATGTGTAATTGTGTAAAATAAAAGTAGGAATCCAATAAGATCTAGAAGATCATTTTCTTGTACAACTTGTATTACTTGTAGGACAAGTAAAACCCATTATAATTGGTATAAATAAATGTATTAGCATGAAAAACGTGAATTATACATGTACTATTGAAAAATATGTAAAAATAAACTTGTATTAAACAAAAAAAAAACGTATATTATATTTATAATACGCGAATTTACTAACTAGTCCTCCATATACGATCTGCTCTTGGGCTTGGGCGGATTATTATTAGAGTGACTCTGCGCAAATCCAAGGCCCGCATTGTTAAATAATAGACATCTTTCGGGTTGTTGGGTAAAGCTAAGAACCGGCCGAAACGAAAATGGCGGCGGCAGCAGCAGTTGGAGCTCCAAGCTGTCACCGGCTCCACCTTCTCCTCCACCGCCCACCACCACCACCATCATCTTCTTCCTTCTCCCTTTTCCTCAAACCCCTTCTCACCTCCACCACCACCGTCACCGCCACCACCACCACCATCAACATTCCATTCTCTCACCTCCCACGCCGCTCACTTATCTCCCATTCCCTTCCTTCCTTCTCCTCTCGACCTCTCTTCTTCTGCCACTCTCCCACCGCTACCCACTCTCCTCCTCCCTCCAAAGCCTCTTTACAAGAAGAAGAAAAAACCCAACAATTCGA